GTCGAGGTGGTTTTTTAAGCCAGTGGTGGTCACACTCACTATTGATTCAACATCGATGACATTTTACAGAAATACACGCCTTGTTGATGTATGTCAAAGTTCAGATTATGATACCACGTGTCAGTCAAACGGTACTTTCGACTTTGTATGAAAGGAAATTGTAAACAATTGCTGTAGACGTCTTTGATTGGCGTTCTGTAGAATTGAATACTCTATTGAAATTAAACAGATGTTCATTCAGATATGCCTTTCGTTTCATTTCACGTTTGGTCAAATACACTGTATACTTTCTTTTGAGCACTAGTTTATATGAGGGAGTTGTCATTCATATATGGGACATCATTCCAAATGATCAAATGTACATGTACTATCCGTTGTTGTACATAACGTGTTGTTTGTGTTCGTATGATCAGTACTAACCCATGCTGTATATCAGTTTAAAGTACTAGTATATGATACTATGAATGTCACTGTCTTCATCTGGCATTACCAACGTGCTATGCGTGAGTGGTCGTTTCCCCTGTCCCGGCAATGAGCGCAGGTCAACAAATATATATATACCAGTCATGGTCGTACAATACTTCGACAATTGACGAGTATGACTTTATATGTACATATCGATGTTGACGTTCTTGTTTGTACAGATATATACGCATATCCGTAAAACCAGAGTAAGTAAATGATACAATTTTATGAATACATATAGCCAGTCATGACACTATTTGGAACTTTAGGACTGCACCATGCAATTTATATTTGCATGTTATATTTCAAATAGCCACTGCATATCAGTAAACGACAACCTTGCTCTCATATCCAGCTTCCCTATGGACAGACAGACAGACAGACAGTTTATTCAATAAGGAGGCCACTGGCCCATAGTACATACAGATAATAGGTTTTTTTGTGTCTTTCACGTGCACATGTTTCAAGAAGGTATACGTAGCACTCATTTGTTTCTAGAATTTACAATATTGTTAACATGGTACAAAAAACAACAACAACATCTTCCTAAGCGTAAGGCAGCTTTAATAAGCTTTCGGAGACTAAATTATTTTTCTCAAAACTTGTTTCTAATGAGTACCTCTTGTACATTTCACTCCTTGCAATCAGGAGAGGATGAACATTTTCGGTAATGGCTCACAAATTTACAGAAATGACCACATTACTTTATTCTAAAACCGGCATAATAAGGCTCGGCTTACATGTGAATTTGATTGTGTCTTAGTACGTTCAGTATTATGTGTGCACACATTCGTGTTTATTTAGTTTTTAGGGTCAGTTTATCCAGATAGTAAGTTAAATTGAGGTTTGCATAAGTTCCTTTGCTATGGTTATTGGTAACATATTGACAAAATGAAAAGAAACATATGAGAGTGGGTGCGTGCATGCGTGTGTACAGACGAATGAAATTTCCATAATAACCATGTGTACCGTATTGTGTTCTGGTCATGTACGGATTGTAAAGTAAACATACAACGCATGAAAGTACTGTGATGGTGTTTATTAAAAGTTAAGGATAAAAGATATTTAAAAAAACATATACCAGCTTCCCTCGGAACAACAGTATCAAGTAATTCTGACAGGCGACAACCGATCGCTCCCATTTTGTTCCATCGTCATCTAAGACACTGTTCCTTTTTCATTTAAACTGCAATGTAGACGGGTTCATAGGCAGCATGTCCTGCTGGAGCAACAGCATTAGCGGCAATAGTAGTGGGAGCAGCAACACCAGCGTAGTATGCAGCAGCGTCGAGATCAACATGGTCAGGACCTGCAACAGACGGAATATAATGAACTTTGTGACACGTTACTTACTACACTTTCAACAGGCTCCAGGGAAGGACAGCCATGTTTCTTGTTCATTTCTTAAGTCTTTTTATTAAAGTACATATGCACAAGGATGAACCGAAATCATTTAAACAAACACACCTTGAGAAATTCAGCAGAATTCAATAACAAGATGCACCTAGAAATATCAACATGGATGTCCATGTTGTCAATTACAGTTGACGGTTGTATCACATTGCTCTGATATACATACCATGTCCTTGAGAACCAATGGCACTGGCGCCCTGTTGCCCTGTCTGGACTAATCCTTGGTTGACTGATCCGGTATTGGCGACAGCAAGCGGGGAAACACCAAGGCCAGCAGCGGGGATTCCAAGGCTGAGAGGGTGAATTCCAAGACCGAGATGAGGAATTCCAAGACCGAAGGGAGACATCCCAAGGCCGAAGGGGGGCATTCCAAGTCCGAAAGGACGCATCCCAAGGCCGAGTGGGTGCATGCCGAAAGGTGGGAAACCAATTCCAAACCCGTGTGTTGTTGTTATGGCAACAAGGCAGACAATGGTGACAGCAAGGACCTTCATGGTTTACAAAAATCTGGGGAGTAACAGAAAAGGTATTAATGACAACCGTAAGATGCCTATTTTGGTCAGTCATTTCTTATTGGTTGATAATTGCAAACTAATGCAAACAAATGAGGGATATGTAGCGAACTATTATGCTATATCGTTCACTAAGATGTCGTTTTATGCCTGAAACTAGTAATGATTCTATGAATGGCAAAGCCTTGAGATGTCATCCTTTTCCCGTTGAAATATCAACCATACAGAAACGTCAAATCGTTATAATATTTGAAACGAATTAAGTAGGAGACTATTAAATATCCAGTTTCTTATGTGTCCTTTCTAGGTTGGATTTATACTCACATTCATACCAATGAATATTAAAATATGTAATAGATATAAAGGAATGCATTAATTCAATCAATTTATTTTATCAACGCATTTTTCAACAATGACAGGGTCATCGCTTGTTGAATGTGCTAGGGTGTCGTTATTCATTGATCTGGACCCAGTGTGCTTATGACATATTTGGTTAGACAGCATATTATATTGTAAAGGTGGGATACTAGACCGAAATGACATTAGAGCAAAATATATTTTGCCTGTATTGCATTATGGGCATTAGAAATAATAATAAATTTGGACTTATCCTTATTAGTGTTACTGCGTAATTCACATATTCGCAGGTTTCTTGGTTGTTAAAAATATGTTCCTGTTTCCATTCCTAAATGGTAAGGCTATGAACTACATCTGAAACGAGCCGGACTTACTCTTAATACGCTGAGGTAGTGTAGGGCGGTGGGTAGCCTAGTGGTTAAAGCGTTCGCTCGTCATACCGAAGACACGGGTTCGATTCTCCACGTATGTACAATATATAAAGCATATTTCTGGTGTCCCCCGCCATGATGTTGCTGGAATATCGCTAACAGCGGCGTAGAACCAAACTCACTCACTTTAAGATACTGTATTAAAGACGTGTTGATTCTGGCATAAATGTTTTCTTGTTTGCATTAATAACATCTCATCAAAGTTGAACACATTATCAACAGTGCACGGCTACATATCTCCGCACACTCATAGTTCTCTTGGTTGATGAATACATCTTCACTTTTATATTTCTAATTGGTAATCTGTTCTATCCAAAACGATCTTGAGATGGGTCAAAATCAATAGTTATACCGTGAATAATAAATATTTCTCGATATTGTAACTAAAGGTATAATGGTTTCAAAATAGCTTTGGCTCCTCTTTCAGACCAAATAGAAACGGGGAGATATATTCGTCAGCCAAACGAACTACGAACGTATTAAATAAATAACCGCAACACTACTATTGAACATTAGTTTCACTTTGTTATGATTTCTCATACTTACAATGACATGATGTCAGGAAGAAATGTCAAACATTTTATCACATCTCGCTGCAAAACTAAATGCTGACAACATTTTTTGAGCAAAATGTAGCTGCACATCATACAGTTGACCCATATCATGCGATATTTTGAGACAGTGTTTATTGACTTACTCTCTCTCGCACGCGTGCGTAATGAATAAACTTGAATTGAATAACGCATGAATGAAATTTACTGTCCATTGTTGTCGTCGGTGTATGAGTCCAGATCAATAAATAACGACACCGTTACACATTCAACAAAGACCTGTCATCGTTTTATAATACGTTGACAACTCATCGTATTTCAGACAATTACAAGATATGAACCTATGTCAACCAGTGCCATTGACAGTCCATGTATATAAGGAAGATATTTTGGCGCAGACTTCAGTTTCCAGTATTGTTAAACCTTGGAAAAGTAAGTATTTGTTATTGCAGTATAACTTTCGACTATACACGTGTTCACACGAAGAATGGATATCAGTTGTCACGTGTATATTTGTTTATACCCTAAATACTTCTAATATGTGCATGATAAAAATAACTGTATGAAGAATGGTTGATATCATTCACAAAAACGTAATATTGACATGCACATGTCGCTAGTTTCCAGTCACGTGACATTTTATCACATTTATCTATACTGAAACGGCAAAAATGGATAAGCTTGAGTACAGACTCACAAAGTTTTGGGTATTCGAAGGCCACCCGGCGAAGCACACAGGGGTACTCGTACTCGTACTGCTGTCAATCGCTCTTTAATTTGAAGTATTTTAGGCTCAAACATTTTGATAGCCCCTCGTATAATTGCGCCCGCTCTTCAAACACGTAACACATGTCTTTACATTTTCGTGTTTATTAATATGCAGTGGTATGCATGTAAGAATTACCATACTGGTATCTTCAAAGAACGTTATCAAGCAGTACCAATGGACGATCTGTTTACCCATATGATTCTAAGGTTAAAATCATTAAGTTAGAAAACTTTTTATAGATTTGATTAACAAATAACAAGTTTCAAATAAAGGTTAAACAGAATTGGAATAGGGCTCAACGGGATTTTTTTCATGATAATGTTTGATGAAAGAAGAAAAAGGAGAAACTACATATAGCCGCGAGCCGATAATGAAAGTTCAGTCACATAGCAAATATAGTAATGGGGAAAATGAATTACCATCAATACGAAATCTTTGACCCAAGTATATATCTCAGGGGTGTCATTAATAATTTTCTGTTTTTTCCAGATTCTGGTAAATCATGAAGGTCTTAGCTGTCACCATCGTTTGTCTTGTTGCCATAACAACAACACACGGGTTTGGATTTGGTTTCCCACCTATCGGCGGCATCGGTATGCACCCACTCGGCCTTGGAATGCATCCTTTTGGACTTGGGATGTCCCGATTCGGATTTGGAATTCCTCATCTCGGTCTTGGAATTCCTCATCTCGGTTTTGGAATCCCCCCTCTCGGCCTTGGAAACCCCGCTGCTGGCCTTGGTGTTTCCCCGCTTGCTGTCGGTAACACCGGATCAGTCAACCAAGGATTAGTGCAGACAGGCAAACAGAGCGCCGGTGCCATTGGTTCTAATGGACATGGTATGTATATCAGTGCAATACAATACAACACGTTGACAACATGGGCATCCATATTGATATGTTTGGGTGCGTTAAGTAATACACAGCCGCACAATTTATTTTCTGTTCGACAGATTCCGATATTGTCGATCTTGAAGTACTTTATCAAGTCTCTTCAACGACCAGGCTACCCCACTGCCCCAAAATTAAATAAGAAACGTGACTATATTCATAATGATCTTGTACAAATTGTAGTCTGTCATATAGTCTGTTTTTGTTGCAGGTGCTGACCATATTGATCTCGACGCTTATGCAGCTGCTTCCTACGCCGCTGCTGCTCCCACGACAATTGCCGCTTCAGCTGTTGCTCCAGTAGGACATGCTGCCTACGAACCTGTTTACATTGCAGTGTAAATGGATAGGAACATTGTCTTAGATGGGATTGGAAAAGACAATCTGTTGTCTCGAAGGAAGCTGACATTTGTTTTGTGTGAAAGATATTTCAGGTGTTACAGTCATTGTATAAAGTAAATAAACACTATTACAGTATCAGTATGTGTGTGTTGTATGTTTACTTTGTCAGTTCCAGTCCATACATGAACATTACACAACATGGCTACACGTGCTCACTCGTATGTACATATTTATATGATGTGTACTTCCAATCATATATTAACATTATAAAAAGTATCGCAACACTCCATATTTGTGATAGTGTCAATACGTTACCATAAAATCATAGCCAGGAAGCTGATCGAAACGTCAGTTTATCAGTGGTATTGTTCCGGGCTTAAGATCAGGAAATTATGTCCGTTCATTTGTGTGACATTACGAAACTGTACGAAGTGAAATGTACAAGAGGTACTCATTAGATATAATGTTTTGTATGAACAGTTCCCATGTCCCGGGAAGTCCAAGCCGACCAGTCCTTGTTGTACCCATTAATGCCGAGCACCAGGCAGGGACCAACAAGTACCATATTTTAATGTATTTCGGTATGACGCGGTCAGGGATCGAACCTGCGATCTTCCGCTCTCCGGGCGGACGCTCTAACCACTACACCACGGAGGCGGCCTGCTTCCGTAGAATGTCAGAGACTAAAGGGTTTCTTGTGGGAGAGTGAATTTGGTTTTAAGGTGCTTCCATAACAATGTCATATACAAATAGAACATGAGGAATGGACTTCATATCTTGTAACCAGACAATACAACAAACGCTTTAATTTACATGGTTAGATACACCTGTCTCTATTTTTGTCGATTATTTGTTTACAACCATTATGTTATTGCCTGACGAAATCTGCACGTACGCTTGCATATTTAAAAACGGTATATGTGCTACTGCCATCTGTTCAACCCTCATACATACATATGTTTCTTACATATCCGTTTGAGGTAACCGATTCGTAATGATTGTGTCAGATCGAATTCGACACCTAATTCATTGTTCCGTTGTTAACCTGAGGTCAGGTTATGTAGCAATACTTTGCTGATAATGCTTCATTGATACTTTTCTCGTGCTTCTGCCGAATTCGCCGACGTCCGCGTTGAAGCATTAAATATAATTGTTTTGAGTGTAAAATAATCGGTGACGTTGGTGAAGGGAACGACGTGACGTTGAACTGGTCTTTTGGCAAAAAGTCTAGCTTCCCATAGCCAATTACGCACTGTCTGGTCGGAGATTCGGCGCAGTACAGGGATTTGGATTGTTATGGATGATGCGGCCGTGGTGTTTGAAGGAAGATGTCTCAACCGGATGTAGCGATCCTGGGTGGCGGTGGTAGCTCTTGGTCGGCCTGACCCAGGTCTGTCATTAACACTCCTAGTATTGTTGTATTGAGTACATAGGTTTGAGATGGTCCGTGTGGACACGCTGAAGTGCCTTGCCACTTCATGCTGCGAAGTCCGTCCTTGTAAACAGCCGATGGCATTGTGTCGTTGAGCTTCTGTCAGTCTTTTCATTCTCTTGTCGTCTATAGCGGCTTAAAGCAATGCATGTGGAGTACCATTGATGTGGCTTTTTAAAGCATACAGTCATTGACTTCAGCTCAGGGTGATGCATAATACAGACGTGAGTGTAACGTAACGTTTTTGTTCAACGTTTCTTTTTTCAAACGCACCATTCCCCAACATGTTGGGATTCAGCATGGAACTCAATTTTTCCACGTATAGTGTGTGTTTTTTTAAGAGTATATAACCAATGTACATTGCCATTCGAAATCATCTAGTAAGCATTATCATTAGAAAACATATATTATGTCGTTTTCGTACCACCCTTCATGTATGCGTTAATAAGGACATAATTTTGGCCCACACATATGCATATACTTTATATGATTGTCCGTCTCATGTTGCATGAACGGACTGAAATGAAAATAACACATGAGGCCACATTGTGTTACCTACCCAGTCAGCCGTTTGTAATGACCAGCTAGCCTCGACAATGTGAAGCATTGTGCATGCCAAGCTCTTATTTTAATGTCGTCCTCAATGCGGTTGACTGGGGCGTAATTCTTGAATACTCACTATTTCAAGCATACAATTATAAAATTGATGCAAAATGCAGCACACTTACGACATTGAAAGAAGATAGCTTTAACAATTATAAAATGGGATTTTAGCAGTAATATTTCAGCAGTATCACGGCATGGGTTTCTCACAGTGTACCCTTGCGGAACGAGAAAATGCTTTACCCAAGAGGCTATTAAATCCGCCCCAAGATTTCCCTCTTTTATTTTATGTGAAAACCGAGTTTTGTTCTGTTGTGAATATGGTGCGCGGAGCGATTAATAGTTGAACTTACTTTTCAATGGTTTTGAACAGAAAATATAAGGAGGCATTATTTAATCAGCTCCTATCAAGAAATGCAATAGACAATTTCTCCACATACAACAGTGTACTACCACTACATTTGCAATCAAATATCACAATTGCCTTCGTGGGAGACCTTGTGTAAATAGCAGTGTATATCCGTAAATCATTCATATAGAACATAAATAAACATTTGTGTGTCATTGCAAATACTTTTATTAACATCACCACATACCTTGTTTACGTTTATAGACGATGTTGCTTGATGTACTTCTCGACATTCATGTCTAATTTCTATCCCTTATAAAACGTTGAATGTATGGACGTAAAGTTAGCATTTTACGAAAAATGTACAAAGGAAATACAGAGTCCACCTGTTTTGAGTTCACGCTGCTGTAATTCATTGATTAGTCAGTCGTACAGACCCTGAAATATTTCCAAGAAAACCCACGCAAGTGTAGAAAATGTGGCAAGTCTCTGAAAATGAAGAAAGTCCCTGGGCTCCTTTTTATTGTATTTACAATTTTGATTTAAAAACTTCTGTTAAATATGTTCATTTCAGAGACTAGTTGTTAGTCTATTCATAGATATATCGCACTGTTTATGATGCAGTGTTAACCTGTTCTATCACTCGATGATAGAATATGAGAAATTAGATCTGTACACTGGGATGTAGTGCACTGAGAGAATTGAACTGGAAGAACGTCAGAAACATCGAAATGGTGATCTAATTCATTGTTCGTTGTTATTGTGCAACGTAATCACTGGCCAATACATCACGCATCAATCACCTGTCCGGTGAACACAGCCATCGTTGTTCTGTAACACCTAGTCGCCGAGGGTCATTTTCAAGACATATTTACAATTTACAACCCGCTTTGTACCCGTGTCCAGCATGTTGGTATAAAACAAGGACCCTGCAGTTGAGACTTCACTTTCTGAAGTCAGTCAGACCCTGTACACCTCAACAGAAAAGTAAGTGTTTGTTCCTCAGTGTCATGTCTTTTTGAAATGTTCATTCTATGTTTTGAACATTTCTATGTCTGATATTTCAGTAGCGTGTAATTATAAACCTTACTATAGTGGTTCTCTCACTCTTAATTTAACTTTCCCGAGATGTTTTCCAACATGGACATATCACTTACTTTGTCACAATTTCCAGGATTACAAATATTATTAAATGTTTCTAAGGCAAATACATAGTAATGAATAGAAGCAGTTCAGTGTGTGTCTATAGTGTATGTCTTCTCGTTAAAAGTATGGATAAAATGGATATACATAGACACAGAACGAAGATAACACACTCTGTGAATTTGATTTTCACTTACACATGAACTGTTATCAAATGCATAACGTCAGTTCCTTCTATTTCCACAGATTTAAGAAAGATGAAGCTTCTTGCTCTTGCCGCTGTCTGCTTTGTTGCCATAACAACAACACATGGTCTTGCAATTGGTATCCCTCCCATCGGCAGGATTGGTATTCCTCCATTCGGCGCAGGAATCCACCCATTTGGCTTTGGAATGCATCCATTCGGGCTTCGCATTCCCCCGTTCGGCCTTTCAGTCCCTCTTGGCGTCGGCGCAGGACTCCACAACCAAGGATATGTCAATGGAGGTTTACATGGCGTCGGAGACATTCATTCAAATGGTTATGGTAAGCGACGTTTTGAAATGTGAGAGCCGTGTAGGTCCGGGTTAGAATTGATCTTCAGTAACCCATGCTTGTAGTAAGAGACAACTAACGGGATCGGGTGGTCAGGCACGACTTGGTTGACCCACATGTCATCGTATCCCAATTGCGTAGATAGATGCTCATCCTGTTGATCACTGGATTGTCTGGTCCAGACTCGATTATTTACAGATCGCCGCCATATAGCTGGAATTTTGTTAAGTGCGGCTTGAAACTAAACTCACTCACTCACGTTGTAATGTTAAAGTATATAAACCGTCTGTGCAAAACAGCATCCGGTCTCGACTTTCCTCATAGACAGATTCCATAAATGTGAAAAGAGGTAAATATCGGTGACAATGTTATAATTGGATCACCGAAAATCAGTGATGCTTGTAAAAGCATGTCCTAACTTCGGGTGGCACCCACCATTTACACTATTTGCGAAACACACAAACAAGAAACAAATGCATGCATGAATCAAAACGTGCATGAACATAAAACAGCAATTTTTTGTACTGACATAAGTGTATATTGTATCAAGTAACATTTCTGTTGTCATGTATTGTATTACAGGTCATGATTACATTGGTGATCTGGATGGATCAGCGGGCCTCTGCTGCTGCTGCCCCGCCACTGGTGCCGCTTCTGTAGGTGCTCCATCAGGAACCGCTTATGGCCCGGCTTACATGGGATTCTAAGCGACCTGTTCCAGTCCATTGTGGTCAATATACTTGACATGTATAATAAAGATGCTAATGCGTTTAGTCCTCTTGTAGCAGAGTGTTGTCATGCTACACTAAAAGGCGTGGGTGATGTCTAAATCGCTGTTGTTTTGTACTGAAATAAACCAATTATTTATTATAATCTTTAGTTTTGTGATCCTTCTATACTCATACTACCAGTTCAGCATGCATGTATATTAAGTATCCA